ATTCTATCAACATATGTCAACACAAATACTTCGTTTCTTCTTAATACTTCACTGTGAAAATTCTTACGGGTGCTAAAGTGTCCCAATTCAAGAGCATGCGCTTTAGAAACTACTGCAAGTTTTCTTGCACTTCCGGTCCGGTGTGTCCCAGGGCCTAGGGAGGACGCACGCGGCCGAGAGGCCCTGGGGACGAGGATGGCTACAAACCGGCAGACGTTCATAGACTATTTGTTACCAGGTCTTACAATTGCAACGCCAGATGGTACCTTGTTCACAGCTAGTGTAATTCTTCCCTAGTACAGTCAGGGAAACTACAAAGCTCGACAAGTAATTCTAATGAAAAGCAGCCGTAGGAATATTAAGAAACACGGTTGTGGGAAACACGGAATTCGGATTGTGTTACAACGCCGGATTTTGTGGGGGAGGTTCAAAAACAATTAGGGGAAATGCAGCAGTCTAGCTCACGACGTCAGGCCTTAAAATATCTTTCACAGGACCGTCTGACAAAATGTCCAATGACGTTGAGTTTGGGTCGGACATATGTCCGATCACCTTCAGTTCACTTTTGACTCGGAAATAAGTCTCAATGACACAAATGAATATCAGCACAATCTATTAATTCTGTACTGTAAATGTTGTGAAGAAAGTTAAATTTTGTTTCAGTCTTTCATACTTATATTCCCAAGCTAAAATTAACTTGCTTTCCAGAACAGCAGTATTAGAAAAGACTTCGACAATTTCGCTCGCCGCCCCGCGCTTGACTACGTTAAAACAATACTTCCACAGTTCACCTTTTATACAATAGTACTCTGACTTTCCATTTAACATACAAGCCTCTAGTCCTGGGCTAGAGTACATTTTGATTTACGTTGGACAAAGCTACAGTTCGGTCGGACACAAATGCACTCGGGTCGGACAAACAATAAACCTCAGTTTCACTTAGGTCGGACAGAATGTCCGGTGGTTTCCTCTCTACGTCGGACAATTTCACGAATGGGTCGGACAATGTCCGTGACCGACCGATATTTTAAGGCCTGCCGTGACGTATGAATGTAGTGTACATATGTATCAGTGTATTAATAAATTATGATTGTACAACTCATCCAATTTTGCCCTTCATTACAATTACTACAAAGTTTCTTTCAAAACATTGCATTAAAAGGGTACTTGACTCTAGAGGTGTACAACTAAATCCGGTCCGTCGTTCGGATTTCGGAACAAAAATATACATTTCGGATCGGATTGATAAAGTTGTTTCGTAGTCGGATCGGACTTCGCTATTCGAAATACAATGAATTAATTATCCACGCATTATCGCAAGAATTAATTATCCATGCATTTATCAAAGCATTATCGCGGTTGTCGCTGCATTATTCGTTTAGCACTTCAATTGGACGTCACTTTGTCAGCTTCTTGACATGTATTTCTTGCTTTTATATTTATTTGGTTAACTATTTCAACTTGAATGAGAAATTTATTTTATAAAAGGATTCTTCGGATCGGATCGGAATTCTTTATTAAAACTCGGATCGGATTCGGATTAGAGAATTTCGGATCGGATTTTAAACATTAGCCAATTGTCGTATTATAAACGTCCAATCCGATCCGATGCATACTTGTACTTGATACAGAGATGAATGGCTATCACTGTTTCAATTTTACAGAAAAACTTTCTTACGAAATGTAGACACTATTAAGCAACCAAAAAATGTCAAATTTTCAGTCTTTGATCTGTCATTGATTCCCGAGATAGTACGCGATCTAACCAGACTTTTTTCAGAGCTCAATTTTGACTTTTTTTCGAGGGCTGTAAATAACAAATCATGATGTAACGTTACCTCGTTAATTAAAAACAGCAATTTCTGTACAGCAACTTTCTTGTCATGCGACACAGTACATTGGACTCCTGGTTGACCGTAACTGTCATACTCGTTAAGGTTTTATCTTCACAATATCGGATCTGCCAATGTATCCTGTTAATCGTTTAAGTGGCAAGATGTATATACTAAAACTGTCTGTACCATGGTGTGGGTAGTACCAATGTGAAAATGCCGTGCTGAGTGGTCTTTTAATCTTTAATCAAGTACTCCTCAAACAGTTTACACTATACCAGGAGATATAGAAATATAGCTAACTATTTAAGAAATATAGCTAACTATATTAAAACCATTTTAATACCATATGGTTCTCATTATCCATCAAAACATTAAAACATCACGGATCACTTTTTCCAATTTCAACAACTACAGTAGATTTTAGAAACTTTCTTACGACGTAAATTGGAAGAAATTATGTCTGTTGTAAGTAGGAACACCTTATTTTATGAACCTACACGACCTTATATAAATAATGACGCCGCGTTCATTTTATCTAGCCGTGTTTTTCTGTTTTTGGCCGCGATAACACGGCTAAGATGGCCCTCTATAGCTAAGATCCTGCAGAGCAGCAGGTCTATAAATTTCCACTTGATAATTTCCATCTACAGGAACATACATTATCTAGAACCAACAGTAGTGAACAGTTGATAACATTGTTCAAACTTCGACAACAGTTACAACTTACAATTTAACCGACTGCTCTGGTCCTCTGCATCAAAACAATTGTGCATGGTTTTTGAATAATAGCATGCAGACCTGCCAAGTCTCACGATTGATGCTTTCTCACGATCTCACGATTAAGACCCCAAATCTCACGATTTTCGGAACTTATGAAATCATCGAAGAGCGCAACATCTAGTTACAATAAGGCACACTCTTCCAAGGAAACATCACACTTTATTAGTGTATTAATAATGCATGCGCAATGTACAACGCCAGAATTTAGTATGTGTGATGTTTGTGTTACAAAGTAAAAGGCGTATCCTGCTAAGTTTATTGTCCTGCTAGTTTTAATATTACTTGTAGTTTCCTTGTTTTTGTACAGATATTGCGTTATATTTCCAAGCCCAACAAACTCGTAATGACACTGGGAGCTACTAAAGCCATAAAAAACACCTATTTTTAATAAGCCTTGCATTTACGGTTATATTAACAACATATAAATGCATACTATCATAAGATTGAATATCTATTGATTATTTTCTAGTGTTGTTAAAGTTAACCCTGGTCATATTAATGAGCAAACCTCACGATTTTTCAGTCAATCTCACGACTTTTTAGATAGCAACTCACTATTTCTGCTAGTCTCAAGGGTTGGCAGGTCTGTAATAGTCTCAAGTACAACCGTATGTTTCTCGAACAACATTACAAGACATTTATAATGCACTGGTACAGCCTTATTTTGATTATTGTTCCCTATTGTGGGACACATGTAGGTAAAGGACTGCAAGAAAAATTAAAAATTTTCAAAACACAGCAGCTTGGGTTATCAGTAAAGCCAGCTACGATGTTCGACCTATAGAATGTTTTGGAAAGCCTAGGATAGGAGACATTTGATAAAAGGCGCCTTCAAAATAAAGCGGTCTTGATGTATAAAATACTGAACAACCACACTGCCACAGATCTCATAAAATTCTTCAATCTCATAATATAACTTGCAAAATATTGAAACAGATGTAACTTTACCAAAACCAAGTATATATAGTTGACGAGGCCTGAGCATGGATATTATAAAGTTTCACATACATACAATCACAACAATCTCTTAAATAAACTTAAAGCGAAATGGCAATATAAAGTTTTATTTTCTTATTTGAAAGAACTTTTGAAACTATATATTAACTTCTTTTACCGATTTTTCATATCTTGTTTAGTTCTTGAAACATTTTCACTTGAAGTAACGAGATGTCCGCCATCTTGGATAAATTTTATATCTCATTAACGGTCGTTTAGGTGACGTCACAACAGGGATAACCATATAAAAGTATTCGTTGCCGACCAAATATTGATTGGCAGATGTTTTAAAGGTTTTGAGTGATCTTGATATTTCGAAGGGCAAACAGAGTATAGTTTTGAGTGCAAAATGATTAGTGGTTGTCTAGACAAAAATATTGTGACCTCTGTTGTGACGTGACATGCATATCTACAAAAATTGAAGATGGCGAACATTTCATTCCTTTCGATCAAAATATTTGTAGAAGTAAGCAAGATATGAAAAAAACAGTAAAAAAGTATTATATATAGTCTTAAAAGTTCTTTCAAATTAGAAAATAAAACAAATATATCACCATTTTCCTTTAAACATATATTAGGATGTCTCAAGTCTGTTAGAAGACAATTCCAAACTCTCGTGGTATCGTGGAACTCTCTGATATCTTAAATTCAGTGACTGTTGATATATATTGGTCACATATATTCGAACAGTCCTCGCAATTTTGATAAATCTTCACAGGAAAAAATCGTGGCGTCGATCGGCCGCAATTTTTTTTTGTTTCTAAATGACAATTTGAACTGACGGAGCATAATAATGTATCATATGTACCTAATTGTTGTTAATGTCTTTGTTAGAGATTGAAACTGCATTGTTTTTACAGTATACATCTTGACTCTACTGATGTTAAGTGTTCGATATTGAGAGCACCCTGTTTCACTTTCATATACACTGAGACCAGCAATCCTCAAATAATCAATGATTATAATCATCTGTTAACACTTAAAAGAATTAATCAAATTGAGAAGGCAGCAACCACAAAAATTTGTCGCCTGCAAAAAAATTGCCGTCGATAATTTCATCTTTGATGGCATTATCGCCGGCAATTGCAACAACTGTTCGATAGAATTGAATGGTTTGATTTGGGGAAGTCAAAGTTGATTAATGTCACCATTTTGCTGTCGTAAGAATAGACAAAAGGTGTCCGTGATTTTGGTCGGTGACATTTAGCAGGCCGTATTTTCATTATAACAGGGTTAGCATATTATTGTTGAACAATTTTGTACACAGAGTGTGAATTTTAAACATTTATTAGACTTAACCACAGGAAGCTGCAAAAAATGCAACAATAGGGCCTCCCGCGGCCCTGCAATTCCGGTGCAGCGCTCTAACCAACCGAGCTGCGGAAACCAGTTGTCGAGATCTAACCACAAGTTCATGATTGTTTCTGTGTTGGTGTAATGTACTCAGGTGAATATGATGCTTACGATGTTACTCTGAGTGTATATCCACACCGGGCAAGCTTGAAAAATATGCCTGACCACGGTGGGAATCGAACCTACGACCTTTGGAATACTAGCACAATGCTCTGCCAACTAAGCTATGCGGTCAGGTCGGTTCGAGTATGTGATATTTCGGAACAGAATCTAGTTCCTTCGATATCAATGTAATCTAATGATGATTGTTGCTGTGTTGGTGTAACGTACTCAGGTGAATATGATGCTTGTGATGTTACTCTGAGTGTATATCCACACTGGGCAAGCTTTCCTTATACCTTACTACCTTTTCCTTATACCTAACGTCCTTACTACCTTATATTATATTATACAAGTTCATGTATAATATAATTATTATAATATAAGGTAGTAAATTTTCAATATGGGTAAATTTTGGGATTTTTGCAATGTATATGTGATTTCCTCAAGCTAAAAATATCATGTGTTATCTGTTAAATTATTAAATATTTTTAGCTATATTAAACGGTGAATATATAATATCTTAATTGTATTAATAAAAATGAAACTCTACAACGGATATATTAAACAAAATTAGACTTAAATTATCTAGCAAAAAACTGCTTTTTTATTAATATAGGGGGAAAACGACATATACTTAAATAAGCGTTAATAATAAATCCATATGACTGCAGTTTGAAATATAAATTAACAACGGCAAAATTACTGTAAATTTGCAACACATATTTACAGTAATTATGAAATGACCCGTTCCTCACGAGAATATTTCACGTTCCCAGGCAAAGCTTTGGCTAAAATGAACAGTTTTACAAACGAATATTAGGCCTTAATAAAGTGGGATGACTTACGTTTCAAAACAGCTGCAATATATAAAACAACAGAGTGTTTCAATAATACTTAGCCGAGCTAAGCGATGCATGTCGAAGGCTAAAAATGGCTTAGAAAGATTATACGATCAAAAAGGATACAAATTTATACACCCTTTCGCCGTTCCGATGGCCAGCAATTTCTGTAACGGATCGTATGCGAGACAGGTTGGTTTATAAGGAAAGCCATGCCGAACAGTCTATAAAGAAAGGCAAGAAGAGTACGTGAAGGATTGATGTTTACATAATATACCAACTTCAATTTTGACTAGTGTATTTTTACCTTCAACAGCGAAAACTGCTCGGGTTTCAGCCGTTCGTCTATCGGTTCTTCATTTTTACTGCTACTGTTAAATAAAGTTAAAACTGGAAGACGGTCTTTAATTGTTTTAAACTTGCTCATAAATACAACGGCTTCCGACGAAGCAAACTTGGAATATGAACAACAGTCCTTGCATGTTGATCAGCTCTCCGATTCGCATATTCAAATTCGAAGGGCCGTCTGCCAGCCGCAAAAAATCATAGG